CTCTCGGAAGACGCTGTAGCCCAGATGGAGAAGGAGCTTCTTGGTCGATAGGTACGCCCAACAGGATCTCAAAACAACAGGAGAAATAGGAACAGGAACTGGTGATTGTGAGCTGCATAATACACAATCATCGAAAGCATGCGGATAAAGGTGCAAAGTTAAATCAAAAGAGGCGGGCATGGACATGGGTTAGAATACACGGCGCTCGGCAAATGTTCTCTGATATAAGAGACATTCCGCGACGAACCACGGGGGATTCCAACGGTTGGTTTGTATAATACTTAACAGGCTATATATGTTCTACGATTAATGACATGGTTTTCATGTTTTCTAAATTCGCAGTTGTCCGCATCCAGAATGTCCATTGATGTAATGTCCGATATCAGTGTGCCGAGTTAAGGTAGGTAGTTTTATCCTAACATCATATATTTACATCGTCATGCAGGAGACCCAGGTTGTGCGTCATCAAATTTTTTTTCTTCATTAATTTTACTACTTTCATCGCCTCGTAACGCCCCTGCAACTGAACACTGCTATGTTGTGTCGGAACCAAGGTGCGGGCTTTTTCTAGATCCCTCTTTTTCTTTTCCAAACGATAGTCATGAATTGTGTCGCAGTTGGGATATCATTAGAACCACTGAGTGTCTTTTATCGACATTTATAGCTGGTTGGCAGTGTTGAAGTCCTGGAGAGCCTCGGCAACACGCTTGGACATGGTCTTCTCACCCTCACGGACCCAGACACGGGGCTAGACATAGCGTTAGTACATTGTCATACATATACAGTAATGTGGTGAAAACTTACGTCGAAGTACTTCTTGTTGGGCTTGTCCTCACCATCGGGGTTGCCAACGGTAGTGTTGACGTACTCGCGCTTGTTGATCATGTAGTCTCGGATACCAGAGCAATAAGCGAACTGCATGTCAGTGTCGACGTTAACCTTGACAACACCGAAGCCAATGGCGTCGAGGTACTCCTTCTTGGAGGAGCCGGAGCCACCGTGGAAGACGAAAAAGACGGGCTTGTCGTTGTCGGACTTGAGGGCCTCCTTGACGTGAGCCTGGTGCTTGCCGAGAAGCTCGGGGTGGAGCTTGACGTTGCCGGGCTTGTAGACACCATGGACGTTACCGAAGCCAGCGGCGATAGAGAAGTAGGGGGAGATGGGGGAAAGAGTGTTGTAGATGTTGAGGATATCTTCGGGCTGGGTGTAGAGAGAGTTGTTGTCAACATCCTCGTTGTTGACACCATCCTCCTCACCACCGGTGATACCAATCTCCATCTCGAGCCACTGCTTCATGGGGGCAGCGCGCTTGAGGTACTTGGCGGTGGTCTCAATGTTCCACTCGACGGGCTCCTCAGAGAGATCGATCATGTGAGAGGAGAAGAGGGGCTCGCCCTTCTCCTTGAAATAAGCCTCATCGGCATCGAGCATGCCATCGAGCCAAGGGAGGAGCTTCTTGGCGCAGTGGTCGGTGTGAAGGACGACGGGGATACCGTAGGTGGGAGCGAGCGAGCGGACGTAGTGGGCAGCGGCGATAGAGCCAGCAATGGAAGCGGCCTGGTCGGTGTTGCTCACACCCTGAAGAGTGTATCAGTGGGTTGACACGATTGAGAAATTTGTTGAGGAACATACCTTGCCAGCGAAGTAGGCGGCACCACCCTGAGAGAACTGGAGGATGACGGGAGCCTTGTTGTCGCGGGCAGCCTCGAGGGCAGCGACGACAGTAGAGGAAGAGGTGACGTTCTGTGATATTTTTATTAGTTACGACGGTTTGCGTTGTTTTTTGAATGGTTGAGACATACAATGGCGGGAATGGCAAACTTGTGCTCGCGAGCGTACTCGAAGAGACGGAGGACGTCGTCACCGACGATGACACCGGTCTTGCGGCTGAGGACTTCTTGGACACCCATTGTTGCTGTTTGTGGAGTTTAGGATGGATAGAAAATGTAGGTTGAGATGAAAGATGTAGAAGAAAAAAGCCTATTGAGCAAGAAAGTTTGTCAGTTATGAATGAAGAGGAGCAGAGCAACCTAATGACGAAGAGGGGGGTGTAGCGGGGTTTTCAATCCAACTCTGTTTGGGCCTTATCGATAGCAAAAAAAGAGCTGCGCAATGAGACAACACGGCAAGGGGTAGAGTGGCAGTTACGGCGTTTTGGAGGGGCAGACAGGGCAAGTAGGAGGGGCAATTCTGACGCTCTTGCCGAGAGCTGCTCTGTGCGGGTCAGAATGAGTTCATCAGATTGAGGCCATGAGCTGTTTACAACATCCAACAGCCGTGTCGGTGAGGCATAAAGAGAGGCCATGATAAGACCGCGGATCTTTTTTCCATCTCGCCAGGAACACTCGTCTAATGCATCTTGCAGCATGCTGCTCCTCGATTGGCGAGAACGGAGATACATCGCGAATCGTCTGATACTCACGGGCCGTAAACTGAGTTCCGTGAGGCTTTAGAGCTGTTGAATGGGCTGAGACTGTTGAACGATTCACCGCGCCATCCAGTGAGACGATTGAGATAGTCGCCTCATCCGGAAACGCTCAATCTTGTTCACCGGACACCTCAACCCATTTCAGGCTCTCGTCTCAGGTCCCTTACGGCTGCTCCGATGCCCGGTGGCTCTCCGGTGGCTTCGCGGCCGATATGTCTTCTCTGACTTTCTCTCGGCCTCTGCGCTACTGCCTCTTCCTCTCACGACTCTTGACTCTATCATGTTGCCCACCTCGTCTCCGCTATAGGACAGCCCGGTTCACACATCCTCGTCAGACCAAGACTTTGTCTAGAAAATCGCCCCCCCCCCCCCAGCAAGCTCACTCGAGATAGCTAGCGGGAGCTCTCTGACGTTGTTGAGCTTGTGCTCGGTGGTAAAGTGGGGGCGCCGACACAGCGGCGCCGTTGAAGAGCAAATGCAGTGGATGGGATTGGACTCGGTAGGTGACAGTGGAGAGTGATGCGACTTACACACTTTTGGCAGTTAGACAGGCGACCCAGCGATGATGTCGGTAATGACGATAGTAGAAGAATTATCAGGATTCAAAAATGAAAAGCATCAATATGGGGGGAGGGGCAGCCGACTTATATGATGCCCTCCCTCCTAAACCTCCTCTCCTCTGTGCCGAGAGCTATTCCTACCACAGCCGATGCTTCGGGGCACTCGACGGGAACATGCGGGACGGCCTGGCCCTTGGAGACCATTGATCGGGCTCGTCACTCTCACTTCTTAGCAAACACACTGACTCTGATTCTCGTGTGACCCCATCTTCCCCGCATACTTGAATATCGTGAGCATCACGGTTGGCTGGAACGCCGCCATAGCCCATGGCTGTGGATATTCCGGGTTGACTTCCGCTGATGCTCTTTGACCAAATCTCCAAAGCCACGAAGCTGAGGCCAATCATATGAACCAATGCACCACCGCAGTTGCATTGCCGACGACAACCATTTCTCGATCATTCTCGCACACTGCAAGACTTGCGTAGTGTTGAAACATGCTACCCAGCAATATCATTCATATTACACTCAATTTGAGTAATCTGAAGTTGGAAATCATGATCGCAGTTGAATTGGTGGAGCTTCGACATCATCTTGTGGGGTGCTCAACCAAACATGATCTCGGTGATCTAATACCGAACCGCAGTTCCATATTCATTTTCATCATGCCAATGACGAGACAAACTCGGATCAGCAATTCGAATCGATGTTTCTATGTCCAGTTTCGACTTCCCTTCCCGGCTGATGCCGAATGTCTAATCCAGAAAAGGCGAATGCAAATTTTGCAATGTCTGCTTGATCGACAAGACAATGCATGGCAGTTGGACATGGTCATAAACTTGTCAATGTTTACATCACGCAGTTTGCGTTCGAAGGAAGCTAGAAAACTACTCAATTGCAACCTTGAATAGTCTAATCCCTCAGCGGATCTGGTCAAGGTCCCGTCCACCCGAAAATACATTGCATCGAGGTATTGGTTCACACAAAGCCAGACTGTAGTTTCGAGATCTCACCCCCACCAGTCCCTCCGTCCGTCCCTCAACCCCGCTTAGGCTATGAGGTTCCAGAACTCCATGAAGCTCACCCCAATCTCCTGCTCCCCCACTTACAAGTGCTGGATTAGCTAACGAATTGCTGCTTATCGTCGGTCAATCAAGTTGAGTCGCTCATGGATTTGCAGAAGCCAGGACTCCTGCAACAACAGCTGATTGGCTTCCGTAGCTCAGTTGGTTAGAGCGTCGTACTAATACTTCATACCGAGTATCCGGTAATGCGAAGGTCTCAGGTTCAAGCCCTGGCGGGAGCATTGTCTTCCAATGCCTATCAGCTGTTCTTTTTTTTGCGGTTTTTGCTGATTTTTGGGGCCGTGATTCTTGTGGTGGTGGTGGTGGTGGTGATGATGTCGCATTTATGGACCTCAGTAGCCCTTTGTTCGCATCGATATAAACAAATGAGTAGCTATAAGTCAGAGACTCTTGGTCTTGATTGACTAAAACACAAGATCTCAGCCCTCAGTAAATCTAAGGTTTATGTAAACTCAGTGGTATAGATATCTCAATTTCTACAGGGATAGAGTTTAAGTCAGGCTAACTACCCTGGAGCAAGATTGCCAATATTGATCTCACACATAGTAATGAACTTCCCAATACAAGCCTACAAAGTTGGTCTGCACTATGTTGTTGCTTTCTACACCTATGTGGTCTGAAAATGCGCACTTGTGGCTACGATAAGCGGCAGTCTTATGGAATACTCTCTGGACACTGGTGTTGTAAGTCGTGTGGTGACATGAGTAGCTACTCATCCATGAATTATTGATTGATCACAACCAAATCATAGAATTAATATTACACAGAGACTTAGTATCGAATCCAATGCTTGTACTTGGTTATCTTTTCATACTCCATATGTCGTATTATTTCATCGCTAAGCAATATAAAGATTGGATCTCGTTCACGTGCAACGATATAGAAAAAAAAGAGGGTCGTCCAGAAACCCCGTCATTGTCTTGAGCATCATCACAAAGTTTTAAACCAATCGTGCCAATGCCTTCTCGTTGACTATGCCGACCAGAACCAATGTGAAAAATTCAGTATTGTCCTCTAGACCATTCACACAACCACTTCTTCGCTGAAAATGGACGAGGAAACCCTCAAGGACGCTCTCAAAAGCTTCCCGAACGCTGAAAAAACGGCACCACCCGCAGCAGCAGCTTCAGGGCTCAACATCAACGCTCTGTTCGAGAATCCGCTCTTCGCCGGTGGAATTGGCCTCGCATCATTAGGAGCAGTTGCAGCTTTTGCACGAAAAGGCGCAATCTCTGCACTCGGAGCAGCTCGTCGCCGTTTGCTAGTCAATGTCGAGATCAGCAAGCAAGATCCCGCATATCCATGGATCCTTGCATGGTTGTCGCAACCCCGTGAACACCCAGGCTTCATTGCCTCTCGCCTTACACGAATACATAACCTCTCTGTTACAACGACGACTGCATCTCGAACGGCTGGAGTCAGCGGACCTCAGAATGCGCATTTCTTTCTACAACCTGGTTTCGGACGACATATCGTCAAGTTCGGCAATGCGTACATTGCCGTGAACAGAGAAAAGCACAATACCGCAAATATGAATACGGGTGAACCACACGAGATTGTTCAATTGACTACTTTATGGGCGCACCGACACGTTTTCGAGGCAGTCTTCAGCGAGGCGCACCAGTTGGCAGCAAAGGCGAATGAGGGGAAGACTATTGTATACTCGGCTCGAGGAATGGACTGGGTACCGCTGGGTGACCCAAGAAAGAAGCGCCCATTGGGCTCAGTCATCTTGGATGACGGTGTCAAGGAGAGTATTGTGGGCGACGTAAAAGACTTCTTGAACCGACAACAATGGTATGTGGATCGGGGTATTCCCTACCGAAGAGGTTATTTGCTGTATGGTCCTCCAGGCAGTGGAAAGACCTCGTTTATTCAGGCTCTTGCAGGAGAGCTGGATTTTAGTGTGGCCATGATCAACCTCAGCGAGATGGGCATGACGGATGACAAGCTAGCATATCTCCTTACAAAACTACCCAAGAGGAGTTTGCTTCTGCTGGAAGATGCAGATGCAGCATTCGTGAACCGACGCCAGCGAGACTCTGATGGCTACAATGGTGCTACTGTTACCTTCTCTGGTCTCCTTAACGCCCTTGATGGTGTTGCTGCTGGTGAAGAGCGCATTGCGTTCCTGACGACCAACCACGTTGATCGCCTCGATGCCGCGCTCATCCGACCTGGTCGTGTAGATTTGATGCTTCGCATTGGTGAGGCCACACAATACCAGGCTGCTCAGATGTGGGATAGATTCTACGGTGACGTTGACAAAGATCACTCTGGCCGAGAACGGTTCCTTGGCCGCCTCCAAGAGCTGGGCCTGTTCGGCGTTGGACCTGACGGCAAACCATCGAATCGCCACACAAGCACAGCAGCGATTCAGGGACTGTTCCTGTTCCATAAGGACAATATGGAAGGAGCTATTAATGACGCTGATGGTCTCATCCCCCGGAAGTTTGAGGCTTCAGACGAGGTCCCAGAGGGAGCAATCAAGACACCTGCATGAATGCATGTGCACTTGAGATTTGTATGAATATGTAACATATGACTGGCTGTTTTGATACCCTGGATGGAGCTGAGACGAAATCTTGTATAGAGATATGTGTATCTGTAGTGAATAAGAGGCTTGGAAGAATGAGTCAACCGTAGCACAAAATTTGCGTTGCTGAATGGATGAAGAAAATATCTCTGTTAAACCCAACGACTACTGGAAAGATGTGTCGTCCAATTACAGACAAAATTTCAGTTTTCCTTGTGTTTATGTCAAGGCTCATGACTCTATCGTCGTTTGGAGTTTTTGGTGAATAAAGTGTTAGCTGGGGCCACGGTTGCCTAGTAGTATTTTAGCTGAGCTCACCCACGGATATGGACTCAGCCATCGTCTTCAAACTCACAAGCTGCAAAAAAACAAATTCCGAGCAACCATTTTTGGCACCAGGCTCAGATTATCTCGAAACAATTTTTCCTTTTTTTTCCTTTCAGAAAAGCCCTCATCGAATGTCGTCCAACAGAGGTCAACAAACGCTGGATTCGTGGATATCATCCAGACCATCAAGACCTGTTGCTTCATCATCTCAAGCATTTTCATCAAGAGGAACTTCATCAAATCAGCACCCGTATTCATCCAGGAGTAGACGCGATGATCCATACAGACGCGGTGTTGCGCTCGCAGCTATAGCAAAGGAAACACGGACAGTCCTCCCTGGTATCCTTTCTCAGTTGCCAAATGTCGACGCCAGCAGATCAGAGAAGCTTGAGATCCACCAACTACCTCCGCTCACAGCTGCCGAGTGTCCTAGACGGACACCCTCAGGGAAAGCAACTATTAGAATTTCCAACGACGACAGTTTCAACGCAGCTATACACCTTGCGGATCTCAAAGGATCCGCATCAGGTCGCGTTGCGGTGCTGAACATGGCAAGCCATGTCAGCCCAGGTGGAGGATGGTTGAAAGGCGCGCGTGCTCAAGAGGAAGCGTTATGCTATCGAAGCTCGCTGTATCTTTCACTGCATCGAAGATATTACCCATGGAGGCAACGCATGGGTGTCTACACCCCCGATGTTGTCATTATCCGCTCCGATCAAGAAACCGGACACCAGCTTCTCATGCCCACCATCCAAGCCCAGAACCTGCCCGTCGTAAGCGTTCTCAGCATCGCAGCCCTACGCACACCACCCGTCAGGACCATCACGTTAAACACGCCCAAAGGCCCTGTGGCCAGTACAACCTATGCACATCCTGCTGATCGCGACCTTACCAAGCTCAAGATGAGATTGTGCCTGCGAATGGCGGCACGACGAAACCATGGGCTGCTTGTACTTGGTGCCTTGGGATGCGGCGCGTTTAGGAACCCGCCGAAGGAGGTCGCTCGTTGTTGGCTGGAAGTGTTGAAGGAGCCCGAGTTTCAAGGCGGCTGGTGGGAAGAGATTTGGTTTGCTGTGTACGATCGGAGAGGTGAGGGTAATTTGGAGATTTTTGAGGAGGTACTCGGTGGTGTTGAGGTCTGAGATGAGGATATGAGATGAGTGAGATCTGGGGAGCATGAGCATGTTTTCAGAAGCACTTAGCATCGGTTTAGGCGCAAGTCAAACGTAGCTGTCTCTTTTTTTCTTCTATCTGGATGTTATGCATACCAAATATATTTCTTCTGCATCTCCAGCCCCCGAGGAAAGTTATCATCGCAAGGGACTGGCTGTAATATCAACACAAGCTTACATTGAAAGGGGCGGAATTATTCTTCTTCCAATTAACTAATCTCAGAGTGCAAATATGAAGAAAAAAAAAACTGAAAAAATAAAAAATAAAAAATAAAAAACTAAAAAACTATTATTCCTACTGTTCGCTGAACTCCAGTATTTCCCAGCAATTCGGAATGGGCCCGCCATTTGAATCCGGTGATGTGGAGCCAACGGCGCCGATGGTCCGGACAATCGGCGCCGCAGAAGCGGCTACAGCTTGGCTCGGCATGTGAAATAGTGTCTTGGAAAAGCTTCACATTTTAATTAGACAAGCTGAGACACAAAGAGAATCTGATTGGATGTTGAATGTCAAGAAATGAAAATCCCACGTTGGCGTTGTCTTTGGCTGAGAATCGTCATAACAGGTGATATGACACAATTGATCAGGGCTGCTTTAGTTGAAGCATAAACAAACAGGATCTTAACCAGCGAATAATCTAAAGCCTCCAGAGGTTCTGTAGTTAGGTAATTCTATACGGCTGAAATCTAAACTCCTGCCACAACACCCTCTCACATTCTCAGGGTTCATTCAAGGATGTCTCAATACTTCACGCTAGCAATCTCTAAATCTCCACTGATGTACCACTTTTATGGTTTGCAAACTCTTCCTGCGGGATATTTTGATGTCGTGATCAGCGGTGGTTATTGCGTTTTAGAGAACCCCAGGTTTGCAACGCCACAAATGCATTCGAGAGCCATAGATCCGGAAGCAATGAAGCCACATACAGATTGGAGTGGGGGGTCTTTACAAGGGACCAGAGAGCAGCAGCTCTTCAACGTTGAAAATAAACATATGAGAATTACAGAAAAAGATGCATAGACTAACCAGTCATGCGTCTCTATCTTATGAGACTAGGGTTCTTTGAGTCCTAGGTCCAGAATATTCCCATCCTTTCAGGGTACCACAGCTCTCTGACTCGCTGCCATCCCAACCTCCATGACCAGCAGATAAGACCCAACGAGGATAGCTTCTAGGGAATCCATGAAGAGCGGGTCGATCCCTACTCCTAAATGCAGAACCCTACGCTCGCCTGCGTTAGACCGGCGGGCCCCTTGATGATGGCATAATCGCCATCCTGTCGCCTCTTAAACTAGTGTCTACTCTATCTCGACTTTTCTTGCAAGCCTTTTACAGAAGTTTTATATACATCTCCGTGAGTCCGAGACACTTTCCCTCTCCCCATTCCAGCGGCTGTATCCATATATCAACAGCTTATCTTTCTTGGCAATCAGCTCTGATTCGACCCCTCTTTGTCTACAGAGGTTGTCATTGCCAGTATGGCGTTCAACCACAATAAGGACGAAGATGTCGTCGCTGGCGATGGTCCATCGGAGCATAACTATGACTCTGGACGCTTGCATGATACAGAAGAGGCCGAGTCTATAGACCCAGATTCTGGTGTTAAGCGTGGTCTGAAGAATCGACACTTGTCTATGATGGCCTTGGCTGGCATTATCGGGCCTGGACTGCTTGTTGGTGCAGGCGGTGCATTGAATGTCGGAGGACCAGCTGCATTGCTCATTGGATTTGGTGTTGTCGGTATGATTCCCCTTGCTTAAGGTCTTTGAAGAGGATATGGGACCAGATGGTTCTATTTTGTCTTCAAATCTTTACGAATTTTAATGCTGACTCTTAGCAGGTATCATCGCCTTCTGTATTATGCAGTCCCTCGGCGAGGTGACAACACTATACCCCGGCGGAGGTTCTTTTATCTCTCTCGCCGAGCGCATGGTAGACAAGTCTTTCTCCGTCGCTGTAGGCTGGAATTACTTCGTCATCTGGGCAGCTGTTCTCGCCAATGAGTACAACGTTATCTGCAGTATTCTCACATATTGGGGCCCAGTCGTTCCTCTCTGGGGATACTTCCTCATCTTCTGGACAGTATTCATGGGATTCCAACTTCTCGGTGTTGAAGCCTTTGGCGAGGCCGAGTTCTGGCTTGCACTGATGAAGCTCCTCGGATTAACAGCGTACTTCATCTTCGCCATCATCTATGCAGCCGGTGGTTTGGTTGGTCAGGATGGATCTGTTGGTTTCAAGTACTGGAGTGACCCTGGAGCTTTCAACGGAAATGGCTTCCGTGGTGTTGCATCTGTCTTCGTGTTTTGCTCGACGTTCTACTCTGGTGTTGAGTCTATCGCTGTTGCGGCCACTGAAACGAGAAATCCTGGTGTTGCAGTTCCTCAGGCTATTCGACAGGTCTTTTGGCGTATTATCTTCGTCTATATGGGATCAGCTTTCTTCTTTGGAATTACTTGCCCTGCTAATGCGGAGGGACTGGTGAATGGAGGTTCCAAGGCCCTTCAGAGTCCCATGACTATTGCGATTCAGAATGCTGGCTGGCAAGGAGGTATGTGCATTGTTTCCTTTCCTCCGGGGAGATACTAACATGTTGCAGGCGTCCACCTTATCAACGCCTTCATTCTCCTGACTTGCTTGTCCGCTATCAACTCATCCATCTACTTCGGTTCCCGAACTGTCTTCTATATGGCGCAGTCTGGCAAGGCTCCTAAGATATTTGGCTGGACCAACAGCCGAGGTGTTCCTGTCTGGGCAATTTTCATCACCAATGCTGTCGGTTCCATTTCCATGATGAACGTCTCTACCGGTGCCTCCAAGGCTTACAGCTATATCGTCAACCTATCTGGTGTCAGTGCTTTCCTTGTCTGGGGTAGCATCTGCTTTATCCATATCCGCTTCCGTCGAGCTTGGGTTACTCAGGGTCGCGGTCTCGATGAGCTTCCGTACAAGGCGCTCGGCTTCCCATACCTCGCCTGGTTTGGTCTTGGGGCTTGCATTTTCTTGGCTTTGGTTCAAGGATGGACTACGTTATCACCATTCAATGCTGGAAACTTTGTGGATGCTTATATCCTAGTGCCACTGTTTGGTATCATCTACGTATTCTGCAAGCTTCTATGGCGTGGAAAGGATCCTCTCAAGCGCAGTTGGAGCATCGATCTCGACAGTGGCAGAAGATTGGATCTGGATTACAAGAGTGGTCCAACAGAAAGGGATGTCCCTGGCCAAACACCTTGGTGGAAGAAAGTATGGGCTTGGTTCTGATTTTGAATCAGGAAATAATGGAACTGTCGGGTTACGATGTTGAGCTTTTCATGATACCTATTTAGCTGACGATTGCAAGCAAATATAACTAGCTCCTCTATCTCCATATGTTGTACATTGACATAGGTTTACGAAGTTACATGGTCGGAGTGAGAAGATGAGGCACCGTTGCGAGAATATAGTAAGCACATAGTATCATTCGCCATGTTTTCGCCAGGGAGGTTATGATGTAAGTCTTGGAGGGGGGAAAGAAAGCATATACAAGGTATTGAAACTCCATTACTACATTCTACTCCTAGCCTTTTCTGCGCTCAACACTGTCAGAAACAATACCCTTGTCTCCAGCCTGGTTTAATAAGTTCCCTCATTCTTATGTGTACGATCTGTTAGGGGAACAACAGAGACATGCTCTCCGGGCTTCAGACTGAAGCCCACAGCCATCTCATTCCAGTTCGCCATCGCGAGCGCAACGAGTTCACCACCAGGGTGCTCAGGGGTACGTTGGAACCTAGCCTTAGCAATGGCAACAGCATAGGGATGTCTTCCTGGGCGGTCAGGGGGCATAGCATTAACGATGTTTTGCGGACAGAAATTGACTGGAACCTTGACCATGACCATCTCGACGCGGTATTCGGGGTCAATAGGCCATGGAATATTCCTGTCGGCGATGACGTTCATCACAGACCTGACAAGGTCATGAGTGATGTAGACGGAGTGCTTGTCTGGGTGAGCAGGACCAAAAGGCACTGGCTTGTCTCCGAATATGGAGCGGACCATTTGGCAGAGAGAGGACTTAGGCATGTTGAATTCTAGGCTCGAGAGATTGTAACTGTAAGACATTAGTATTATCTGTAAGTCGATGGTTGAAGGGATTTGATATATGATGGAGTTGTGGTCCGTTATATAGACGGTCAGAGGATATAAGCACGTTCAACTGTTCGGATGGGCACTTCTTTCACCAATGGCTCATATGAATAGAAATACTGAACATTCAAACATCTTCTTTGTATCTATAAATCCATCAGGCTCAAATGAGTATTTCTCTTTGTTCTCAGTAGGATACTTGTTCAGTAAAGTGATATGCTCAGTCAAAGACCTCTTGTTCAAAGACCAAGATGAACATTTCATCAACTTGTAAAGGCAAGAATTCAGTTAGTCTATCGCCCTTCTAACGTAAGCCAAAACGGCGTGCTCTCTTTGTCAACTACAATCCATCACATGGAGAATCTCATAACTGGCATTGTCCCTCGTGAGTAAGTCATTATATGCTGCTTGGTGGTGGACAATTAAAAATCAAGGGGCGTTTTCAATACGATATCCTGAGACATGTATACCACTTTTTCTAACAATATCAATGTGGTACAACAATCTCTTTGTCAGTCAATGATGCTATTCACAGTCACATGTGATACCTCATTCCTGGTCGGACTTATTGATTCCCCGGTTTAAGTTCAGGGGCACTGCAGGGGCCCGTGCGGAGAGCTCGGGAGCGGGCTGGCGGGCGACCACAGGATTGGGTTCCTGTACATGTCTTCCAGAAATTCTGCACCAGTACATCACCAACTTCTCTCAAGTTTCAAGTACATGTACATCTAGACCTCTGTCGATCTCATTGAAGTGATCGCAACGTGCCCTGTTGCGCACCCTCTTGAAGTTCCCAACAGACATCGACAATCTCGACTAGGGATCTTACATCACGATCGACGATTTACGTATTAGCCAAGCGTTTCGCTCGCTACAGCTTCTTTAGCGATTACCGACTCGTACAGGACAAAGACACTTCTCCTCTTCAACCTCACTCACGTCATACGCATCATCCAGATAGCTCCTTTCCACCAATAAGTGGGCTATCGCTATCGTTATCGCTGTCGAATGCCTCATTGCCGTATCATGAAATTTAGCCCGAGTGCTACTGCGACTTAATTACGTTCACCGATAATCTCTCAGGATCGAACAGCATTCGTTCTGCATGTGTCGCCATCCCGTTCGATCCGTCCACGATCTATATAAACCACGCCCAAACTCGATCCAATTCCCATCCTCAACGTTGCGACCTAGGGAGGTCGAGTGAGCTTCCAGACGACCGGTCACAAGTCGAATGAATGCAACCTCTAAACCCCTTCCTGGCCGCCTTCTTTAAGAGCTCCCTTCCCAGTCAGTGCACGCCAGTACACCATCACATCCTACTGGTTCCGTCAACGGATGTGCTCCTCACATTCCGCGAGACCGAGAGCGGGAGTGCCCCTGCTGAGGTCATCGCATCGGAGGACTTTCTCGCCAGTCACGTCCTCCGTGTGCCATCTCCAAATGGCGTCGCAGGAGGCAAAGATGGTGTCCAGAACTTAAGGGAAGTGAGAGGAAAGGCAAAGCAGTTTACGACACTTAACGGCAAGAGTGTGGTCATCAAGGACGCTTTCATATATAGTAACAAAGGTGCGAAGCCAAGAACTGGCGAAAGGTAATATTACTAACCGAGGATAGGCTTCAAAACACTCGCCCAGGCCCAGCTTCTGAATGACATCGTCTTCTACCCCGACGTCTTCGAACCACGGCAATGGCTTCTCTACTATATATCGAGACCCCTTGTGGGCGTCTGGGAGGAGAACAAGATTACACCAGCGATCTTGGTCCCCGGTGTACGAAAGCGCAGGATTCCCGATCAGAAACAGACACCAAACGCTGAGTCGACCGAAAACACTGCTCCTCGAAAGAAAGACATCAAGAGTTTTCACGACCTCCTGAACAATTTCCCGATGATTGCGCGCCAGATGCAACCCGGCCTTGAGAAGTTATTCGTCGAGTTCAGCAACGTCTTCCGAAGTCCACTACCTCCTCCCCCGTCAGCCGAGCACATTCCAGATCCCCCACCGAATGGGTCTATCACCAATGCTGCAAGGCGAGCGCGCTCTAATAGCGCATTGGCAAGCACGGGTGACGATGGCAGATTGCCAGTGACGGAGAACTTCTATGCTGAGGACGATGAAGATATTATGAGAGCGTCTCTTGAAACCGCAGTCACAACTGCGATCGATCTCTTCCAAGGAGTCGACAAACAACAACTTTCTCTTCTTGGCGCGACGACAGATCTGACTGGTCCTCTTGTGGAGAAATTGATTGAGCGTTATGTCACAGAAAACGTTCACAATCAACTCTGGCCGAGACTCAATGCACTCAAGAGACCTTATGACCTCGAACTAGAAGCAAAGATCAGAAAGATGCAGTTTATCGATATTTCACAACTAGGCATTGCCATTGATGGTGGTTCGAAGGCGAAGCATGATCTTATCATTCAGCTAGGACCGGCTGTTGAGGAATTCAAGAAGATATCTGCGGCCACTTGCCCTCAAGTCATGCTAGATCTTTTACTATCAACGATCAAGATTGTGTCTCGCTTGACGGATTCATCAAAGTCTCAGGCAGCGTCATCGGATGTATCCTCGGAGAAACCCATCATGACTATCAACGCGGATACCTTAGTCTCATTCTTGCTCTATGTGGTCATCCGATCACAAGTCAAGCAGTTGCAGGCACGCTTGATTTACGTCAGGAATTTCATCTTTATAGACGACGTAGACAGCGGCGAGTTGGGCTATGCGCTGAGTACATTCGAGGCAGTGCTGGCTTATCTTGTCCTTGACTCGGCTGGCTTGAGGCGAGCCAGCAGAAGAAATAAAGCTCTGTGGGATGCGGCAAAGACAGGAACTCTGGACGACCTTAAAAAGATCATGGAACCTGACTCAGGGGCTGTTGATGATGACGAGCTATCAGAATCTCCTACGTCCAGCCGTCGACCATCTACAGTATTGAATCTCCAAAACGACACAAGATCGACAGGCCCTTCGAGGTCTAGAAGATCGTCATTGCGTCTCTCCTTTAACGATCCGTCCCCATACGAACACTATTCTCATGGTTCAGGACTCAGCCATGTATTCCCCTTCCAAGCAGAGGGTGAGATCGAAACACACTCGCACGACTTTTCTATACCAGTACGAAGGGTGAAGAAGGTGGCGATGGACACCCGAAGCATATCAGGCGATTCTGAGGTTTCATTCCACTCTCGCACGGGGAGCGTTGGAACCATCGGCAGTGCTCTGGAAGGGGATGTTTCAGTGAACCGATTGTCACAAACGAACAATTCCTTCGGAGAATCAGTTCTGATGATGGCCATTCAAGCTGAACGTGCTGAGACGCTCAAGTACTTGCTCTCCTTAACCGATTATTTCTCTCCTTCTTTTGTTCTAGATGACATGAACAACGAAGATACCACCTTGCTGAGTGCTGCCATCCAATTAGGCAATGCTCAAATCATAGATTTAACACTCGGGTTTATCATCACCTCAACAACTCCTGAACAGTTAATTTCATATCTGGCACAGCAAGACATCTGGGGCCGTAGCTGTGCTCATTACCTCTTCAACGCGCCGGCTTTGATCACTCGAATCGGGCACCTAATACCTTGGCGACAAAGGGACAAGAACGGGCAAACTCCGCTCTTCGCTCTCTGTCGCTCTTACGATCATAAGAACTATCTCGAAATGGTGGAAGCTGGCCTCAATGCTGCAGCTGCAGCGCAACATGATGGATTGCCCCTCCATATTGACGAACATGTCGACAGCAAGGGCAACACGCTGCTTCACATTGTCAGCAACGCAAGTCTTGCCATGAACATACTGCAATTTTGCGATGTTGACGTCAATGCGACGAACGATAAGAGGTTCACAGCGTTGATGGTAGCCAGCAAGTATGGCAGATATGACATGGTCCGTACCCTGTTCGCCGATCCAAGAGTGGATGTAGGGGCGAAGGAGATCAGAGGCCTCACAGCAGTTGAGCTGGCTAAGGACGACGATGTGAGGAACAAGATCGACGATCTTGCCTTGTTCAGCATGCCCCCTGGGCCAGATGCACGTATCACTGGTGTGGTCAGGGCATTCTTCGTGGAAGATGCGACGGTGAGGTTGGTGTTGAAGTCAGCGGCCCCAACGGATCACGATAGTTATACGGTGACAACGAGTCGTCGTTCGCTCTCTGATTTCGAACATCTCCCTACTCTTCTAGCGCTTGAAAATCCAGCTTCGTGGATACCCTCACTCGCCGATGTTCGCTCTCCGTTCCAAATACCGTCGAAACCATCACGAGCCATTCTGCGAGACATGCAAGCTCGCGCAGACTGGTTCTTGAAAATAATGCTTATGCACCCAACTTTTGCCACGCACGAGATGCTATGGGAGTTTTTCCTGGTACCAGAGTTGCAATTGGATATGATGGAGCAACGGACGCTTCTCAAAACAGAAGCGCGAGCAGAAAAAGTGCGAGATGAATATGAACCTGTGGAGGACGTGAGGGAGGTGGAACAGTTCGTCAATCATGCGCGAGAAATGATCCGGAGCGTGAACTACTCGACTAAGAGTGCGACCAGACGCGCCAACAATCTTGGACTCGTCGCAGCAGGTACGTACACTTGACGAACACTGTGACCCAATGAATTTCTGTGAGCTAACCAGTGACCAGACATGTACGATTCTTCAGTGTTGCTTCATCGAGCTGTTTCAACACTGCAATTCCTCCCTCCGAGATACATAGATGCGTTTGAGACGTATGTGCGATCCATCGTCCCCACTCAGTCAAACGCGCAAGCAAACCTTCACTCGTCATTCCTGGCTCTTCAATCTACGGTTCAGGCACTGCTGGCGTCCTTGTCTCGGCCACCCTCCATCATTTCTCAGATGAGGGCGGCCAAGCGTGAGGCCGACAGAAACTTTAATTCTCTTAACAAGTCGAGGTGGCCACTGGGTCTTCTGGATGATACTAGACAGCGACTATATGATGAAAAGGAGGAGAGGGCACGGAAGTCTCGGGAGGAAGCCGCAAATCTTGCGAGGGAACTTAGATACACACAACAGACAGTGGCTGCAGAACTAGCAGGGTGGCAAGAACTACACGAGAAGATGGGCCGCCATGCTATCCGAGAATTTGTACGGGGGATGGTGGTGCAGGAGAGGATGAAGTTGGATGGTATGCTGAGAGCTCTACGTAAAGTGAGGTTGCCTGATACGATTGTGGTGGGTAACGGGACTAGAACACCAGCCCCGTCACAAGTGAGGGAGCCTGAAGAAGTCGAGATGGATGAGAACGGGGATAATAGCGAGGCTTCATGAGGAGGGTAGTGTTGGGTGTGGATACCGGGGAACTTCAATCCATGAGATGAACATCAAGTATACAACACTACAAGGACGCGTGATATGGTGACAGAAGATGGAAGAGACGCGTCGAGTGGCGGTGGAGCACATGTCCTTGATGCCAAGCGAAGCTGATCTGCATGGGTTGAGCGAAGCGAGGAGGGGCTGGTAAGGCAGAGCCTACGTAGACTGAGCAGAACAGACAGATGAGATGAGATGGATGGATGGATGGATGGATGGATGGATGGATGAATACCCCTAGCTGGTGAGAGAGTTATAGAGAAGTTTCTTGTGTCACTTGCATTAAGTGTATCTCTTATACCAGCAAGCCATTCTGTTGGATATGGTCTATACAGTTGGCTATTTGGAAGGAGTTTGGGATTAGATGACTATAGATAAGCACCATTATACCGAGATGGCAGATATTGTTATTTGAAACAAAAGCAGAGAATACGTTCAAGAAATTCAGAAGCTCTAGGGTATTGAGTATGAGTTCAGTGGTGGCACGATGATGAGGCAGCGTGTACCTGGCATCATGAGGTCCACCACAGGGAGCAAAGTACACTACGGAGAGGCATAAGAGACATTGTTGCAGTGAACACAAGGGGTAGGGGTTACAGAAGAGGCAAGTGGAGCGAGATACAAGCGTGGACGTGGTCGCGTTGATCAGAGAAGGCGCTTTAGCCGTCAAAGCTTGGCGAGAGGCTAGGACCAGGATAGAGAATGAATGGCCAAAAGTTGAATGAAACATGAAACAAGAAACGGCAAGACACAGGGAAATGCAGCACGTCCACGATAGTCTGCAGCAGATACTACCTACTCCCTCCATACAGTAACCTCCCCATATTCTAGAGCCACTCATTTTTTTCCCCAGTTCAAAGAAACTTCGCGATTGTTAATGGACGCGATGTCTATTGGTTGACGGCGCGTGAGATCCTGGCGCGTCGATATCAGCGAATGAGAGACAAGATCCAGGTCGCGACATTCAAACTCGACTCTCCAAGAGAATAGGTTGAGGCTGTGTAAGTCGAGATGGGAAGAGAGATGAAGAATCTGGTGGATCGAGAGCAAATTTCCGTAGCCGCGGAGAATGGTGCGACGATGGGCTTTTTAATATTTAAACAAAGTCAAAGACGCTCAATTTGGCTGTGGTGTATTAAGCGCCCGTTAGGTAGAGACAGTAATAGATTAAACGCCCGGCGGTTAACGGCAGCGACAAGGGAAGGGCCAAGGCCACTGAAACCACGTAACAGGATCTGCTTCTATTCTGAGACTTGGAAGATTGAGGCTCATACTCATACGTATACTCTTCTAAACGCCATGTACTCTACGGGAATGTTTTAGATTTAGACTCCGGGGGGGGTAGAAATGACCCTGAAAATGGGATGAACGGTTGTCCCTCGCAACGAGAAATTGGTGTAAAACGCGATAGTAAATATATGTAGGTATAAAACACGCTCTGAAGAAGAATATCGCGACTTTTTGAGAGTCGCGTTCTGGTGTTGAACCACGAGAGAACGAGCTAGATATGCCAAGTCAAGGATCTAAAAATGAGTCACAAGCGCTGGGCCATTCAGCGACCGGGCTCGTGCATTGACAGACCCAAGCCGAGAACCATGATCCTTGGCGATGATCATGACGCCTGGGGTAGTATTACACAGTGTCTATGTCTTCTCGCACTTATATCCCCTCCTCTGGACAGGAAGAGCTTACAGTGTCAATACGCATCAACCAATCATGGCCTCTACAACTTACACCTCGAATCGAAGCGCGTCCGCGATAATTCTCTGCAGAGAGAGACGATGGGACGTGTTTCAGATTCTTCTCTTTCTCGTGTTCCCAATGAGAGGAAGAGAAGAAGAGAAAAGATGTTTCTTGTTTCGTGGAGAGTCAAGGGGATCGGATGGGTCCTATGCCGGAGCCCAGAGCCGTCAGCCGCCCATCGCCAACCATTACCCTTCTCTGCTTCATCGATAGCATAAGAAGACGGCCTCTCCCTGGGTCTCTGGTCTTCTTTCTTCTATTTCTATCCAGCATCATTCATCGTCAGCCTGTCTTTTACCAATCATCTCTAATCATCCTCACTCTCCTCTTTCCATCTGTTTACATCTCTATCTACCTATTGTGATCCGGTATCACTATCACTATCACTATCATCAGATCAAAAGCTTCACAGCAAACTAGCAAGTCTCGCTGGTTCTGAGACCTTGTTCTAACGAACTCCAAAAACTTCCGGTTTCATCTTGACCTTTTCACGGAGCTGGTCTCCTGATCCTTGTTCATACACTTATAGACTCTCACTAATACTTCCAACATCATGTCCACGTAAGATACTATCACCACCAAAGACTATCGACCATACATACATAATGCTAATACACACTCAAGAAGTCTGGCAGTCGATATGCCCTTCGACTTCAACTTCCCCTCAGCCTCTATTGAGCGCACAAGTCCTCCTCCCATGTCAACTCTGCCCTTTGACCAAGCTTTTCTCGACATGGCCTATGCTTCAGCTTCAGCTACTGCAGCTGGTCATGTCTCCGGCCACTCTCGCTCATCATCAAAGGCTTCAGTCTACTCTACCATCTCAGCCGAGTCGGACCATGAATCTCTCTGCTCCCGTCTCACAACACCTCCTCGTGCTTCGCCAGCTGTTCGTCAGCATGGCCCTCTTCTTCTCCCCAAGATTCGCTCTCAGGACCAAGATATTGATGCTACTCCTTGCCACTATCGCATGACTACTCCTCCTGCTCCTAACCCTTCTCGTCACTCACGGAGCTACACCAACCCTGAGTCTCTTGCCATCACCTTTGACACTCCTGGCTCAGTCAACACAAGCTTCTCTAGCCAGCCTGATGACACTCTGTCTGCGTCACTCCTCACCTCTCCGGCAAACTTTGCCGCTCACATCTCTGGCTCTCACTCACGCCGTGCTTCTAGCCTTGATGCCACCACAATCGATCGCTATGGTTATCCCACCTACCGTCAGATGCCCTCATTCGTTCCCGTCCCTCAGCAACAATCTGACTATGGCTTCTATGACTACAGCCCTCGTGCTCAGTCCCCACTGAGCCTCACTGCCACTCCGGATCCTACTCCCAACACCAACCTTCTGAGCTTTCTCACCTCTTCCAACCCAGCTGCTTCTCTGGTCCGCCACATCTCGTTCCCCGTGCGAGATGCTGCCACTAAGCACTTCTGGTGGGATGTTCGCAACATTCGCTCATGGTCCTCTTTCAACGCATCTGCAATTCTTTCTCTTCCTGGTGCCTCTCTTCTTCTCACCAACCCTGTCCCTGCGCCTCTGCTCCCTCAGCCTACCTTCACTTCTCGTCACCCCGAGACTGAAGCTCAGCTTCACTCCATCTATGCCTCGTACTATCTCCCCAAGCTGAACTCGGCTTTGACCATGTCATCAACTCGCCCTCTTCACCTCTCAGTGCCTCCCAAGACTGCTAGCATGAGCGATCTCCTCTTCGTTGCCAACGCTGCCGGCGAGTCTGCTACTGCTGCTGCCATGTTCGGTGGTAAGCCCACTGCTCGTGTTGTCGGCATTGTTCGCAGCTTTGACCGATTCAACACTGGTATGCGTGTTGAGGGTAACATCAAGCGTGTTGAGTATCTCCGAGGCCTCTCAGCCATCCACCACGCCATGCGCGAGCACGGGTGCCGCTATGGTTTCATCCTCACTGAGATTGAGCTCGTCCTTGTCCGCAACGGCACTGCCAACACTCCCTTCTTCGGCGATCTTGAGGTCACATCAGTCCAGCTCGCTGCCTCTGCCCCTGAGGGTGACGCTTCAACCCTTCCCCACGAGACTCCCCTCACTGCATGCCTCGCCCTCTGGGGTCTCTGCCAACTTGCTTCCGATGACACACCCGCTGGCCACGCCCACTGGCGTGCTGAGATCGGTGCACCTGCTGAGGGAACTCGCCGCAAGGCACAACCCCGTGACTCTTGGATTCCTCAACCCCAGCTGGCTGAGAAGCGTGAGGCCAAGAGAAGTCGCGGATGGGTGTGGCCCGAGGACGCCATTGGCCGCAAGGAACTTGGAAAGCGAGGTGTCCGATATGGCGGAGTCTAAGGGCCTGGTGCCTTTAGCAGGATGATGATGAGATGATAGATGATGGATGATTGGAAAGAAAAGACATGATAATGAATGAACATGCGAATTTTGTAATCAGTTTAGTATTTAATTAAAAACACTTCAAAAATCATATTGACTGCATCACCGTGACCTCATCTACTGAATGAGTGTGAGCTGACTGCGAAGTACAGAAGAGCGACTTGGGCATGGGTTCTAGAGAGACTTTTCTGTTTCACTGACTTACACGTCTGTTCTACCTTGCCTAGCGAAGCGTGCTTGTCGAATGGTCGCATCACCACCATACAACCTCGACATTTCACAATTCTTAGCAATAGCACTTCAATATAAGTACCATACTGATCTCTTATGCAACTGAAATAAAAAAGACAAGCCTTGACTAAGCCACGTTTGACATTCGGGGGGGCATGGTTGCTCAAAAGAAGGCGTTATACTTTTTCCCGCACGACTCACCCCATGTACATAAGCTGACTTACTGAACCAGTTTTCACAACCAAAAAAGCCGTCATCGTATAGGGGTCAGTACATCAGTTTGTGGCTCATTCGAAGCACTGAAAACGCAAGTTCGAGTCTTGCTGACGGCAAAACAATTCTTTTTTGTCATTTTTGTAAATCTGCCTTCTTTTTGGTTTAGATCTGCTGCCTTGTTATTTGTGCAGGGTTTTCTGCCCCCTCTTAACCCCACCATCGTGGAAGATGAGAGAAGCGATGATCAGGTGGGTGGGTGGAGTGGTGGGATGCTGTTGAGAAGAATGAAGCATTCTATACTGAAATAGATTGAGGTTGACTATATAATGCAGTTTATTCACTGGGTCGATTATCAGATCTTATACCTCTAGGTACTCTAATATGGCATATCATGTCTGACTTGGTTAATTGTCTACTGAATAGTCTTTTCAATAATATCCCCACTTGTCCATAGGGTAGGTAATCGATGTTGTACGAAGTTCGACAAAACCAAGGTGTTGGTTGCCACTGATATTTCAGCTGCCTCGTCCAATTCAGGGTTAATTCAAAAAGAAAGTTTGTCACACAATACAGTCACTAGGACACTACGTACATCCATTAAGTGGACGTGATACAACAGCACGCCCAGAAGCTGCACATACAAGATAGCAGAAGGGATATCACAGTCTGAGCTGAAAACCAGGTTCAGAATTTGGAGCAGTCATCACACATATAAATTATATTCATGGGACACAAACTAGATCTTCATCACATCATTGCATTTAACTTTTTTTTCTATAGACTTAAATACGCCTGGTGATTGATATCTAGAGCTTAGCTCTTGGCAGCACCAGCCTTGATGTGCAGGATATCGCCGTCCTCGACGACGTATTCCTTACCCTTGGTCATAATCTTGCCCTTGGACTTGACCTCGGACTCGTCACCAAGCTCCTTCAGGGTGTTGTAGTTGAAGACGAGAGCCTGGATGAAGGTCTTCTCGAAATCGGTATGAATGACACCGGCAGCCTGAGGCGCCTTGGTGCCAGTTCGGATGGTCCACTGTCGAACCTCATCAGGTCCAACAGTGAAGAAGCTGCCAAGCTGAAGGGTCTTGCGCATCTGAAGAATGACCTTGGGCAGGACAGATTCGGCACCAACGTTCTTCTGCTCCTCCTTAGCCTCAGCCTCGGTCTCAAATTGAGTGAGACGAGACTCATAAGAGACGGAGACGGGGATAAGAGGGTCACCCTTGGCGTTCTCGTTGATCCACTCAACAATCTTGGGAAGATGCTTGTTCTTCTTGCGAATGAAGTCCTTCTCGGACAAGTTGACGAGGTAGACAACGGGCTTGGCAGTCAGGAGGAAGAGAGGGTTGATGACCTCAATCTGGATGAGAATGTCAGTGAGGGTTCTCATAAGCTTCTCAAACGTAAACAGTTGTGTAAAGATTTGCAATCAGAGTAAAGTTTATCTCACAATGCCTCTAAGCGTTATTTAGGTGAGGCATTCGACGAGCTGGGATTAGATCAGGCCTTATGGCCTTTTGTCATCAGGAAAGCAGGGTGTGTAGAGCATAAGTAGAGAAAAATTCTTACCTCCTTGGGGCCCCAGGTACCCTTGCGGACATCCTTGCCCTGGTTGAGCCAGTCCAAGATCTTCTCAATGGTGTCCTGTTCTTGCTTGGCCTTCTTCTGCTCCAGAGACTGACCACCCATGCGGGTCTTCTTCTTCTGGTTCTCGAGGGCCTTCTCAACGAACTCAATATCCTTGAGTCGCAGCTCCTCGCTGATGATGTCAAGATCACGGGTGGGGTTCACGTCACCCTCAATGTGGATGATCTCAGCATCATCGAAGCAACGAACAACCTGGAAGATGGCATCGACAGCGCGAATGTGCGACAAGAAAGCGTTTCCAAGACCAGCACCGGTTGATGAACCGCGGGTCAGACCGGCGATATCGTAAACGGTCAAGTTGGCGGGAACAACGGACTTGGGCTTGTACTTCTCGACGAGCCAGTCGAACCGCTCATCGGGAACGACGACGCGGGCTTCCTCAGGGTCGATGGTGGCATAGGGGAAGTTCTTGATGCTGTCAGCACCCCGATACTAAAGACGGCGGATGGCGAGGGGGCTTCATACAGCTGGGTTACCGAGGTTAGACTTGGTAATGGCCTGGAAGAGAGTAGATTTGCCGACGTTAGCCAAACCGACCTGGATTATGGTTAGCACGTGGCATACATCATCGATCGAATATTGTCACGCACAATACCACTCTTCAAGTTGTTTCCAGGCCTGCCCAGGGGGATCTTCTCCTCGACGACTTGCTTCTTAGGAGGCATCTTGCGTGACTTGGCGTAGTTACGACGTTGAACGAAGAAAGCTAGGCCGAAGTTTGTGGATGGAACGTGTCCAAGAGCTGCAGAGCTTGCTGCGCGGGGTGCAAGAGGAGAAAAAGAAGTGAAGAAGATGGAAGATGTGATTGACTTCGTGGTGAAGTATTTAGGTTGGCTAGTGCCAACCTCGGACGGCTTCGAGAGCGAGAGCGACGACGAAGAAAAAGGGAAGAAGAGGAAGTTGAAGGGAGAGAAAAAAAGATTTCTCTTTTTATTTTGCGCGAGCCGAGCTTGGGGAGATGAGATGAGAATTTGTTCGTGACCCCACCTTGCTGGGGTTTAGAGAGGTTGGGCTGTGCCAAGACTTTCGGATTGTGGGAAAAGGTAGTTCCGGCTGGAATTTGAAGTCGACGTCATTGGCTGACGAAAGCAGCTTGGCATCAAGGTACCAAGCCGTGCGCAGAAGGACCCTGGATCCAGGATCCAGCGAACAGACACAGTATGTCACAGAGCATAGGCCCTGTGGTTTTAGGTGTCCGTCTTTGGAAATGCCTAACCTGAGTTACCTGAGGTTACCTAAAGTTAGTAGAGAGTAGTACAGAGACAGAGGTTTTGGATTTCGCCGGGCTTGATCTGACAGGAACGACGGGAGCTCAACCGGGCCGGCCTGTCCGATTCCTTCAGTTATTTCCTCTCCTTCACTTCTATTCATCAACCTTCAAAGTTAGAAGATACATCTTCTCTTTGTCCGCATGAATTCTTTGTCTTGTCAACTCGCCTACGTATACCAACCTACAGCACGCTATATAAGCCTTATTAGCCTACCATTTCCCCAGCTCAGCCCCGCTCACCCGTCAGCTGCGAACCCCAAAGCTTCGAGCCACTTGACGTCGCAATAGTTGCAGTGTCTGTATCTTTTGCATGATGCCGCGTCCTAAGAAGAGCTCTTCGGTGAGCAGATCTCACCGCTCAACTTTATCTTTATCCAAAACCGAGATTACTATACATGTCTATGATCTACTGCCGGTAAGTGAAGTCGCTCATACTCATCTCACTAGCTTTCATGAGCATGACGCTGATACGCGCGGCATGACAGCCCGGCCGATTATCGTCGGTATTATGGACAGTAGGCGCCTCGCTACTTCACTCAGGTGTCGTGATCAACGGAAGAGAATACGCCTATGGCGGACATGACAAAAGAGGCCTTACAGGTGTATACTGGACAAAGCCCCGGACCGAACCGCCCGGAGGCACATTTCGATGCGAGATCCTCCACGGATTCACTCTTGCGACAGAAGACGAGATTAATGCGACTTTGCAATCTGCCTCTGAAGAGTTTCTGGGTACTTCATACAATCTTCTTACCAAGAACTGCAATCATTTTACCTCTTATCTTTGCAAGAGGCTTACAGGACAGTCGGGTCCAGCATGGTTGAATCGTGCCGCCAGTATTGGAGTTGCGCTGCCTTGTGTCGTCCCTCGAGATTGGATTGAACCACCAGAATACGACACAAGCGAAGGCGCGCTGTTGGACGATTACGACAACTCGAACGAGAACTCTCATATGCTGAAAGCGACGGACCCCCATCTGCTCATGGAAAGCAACGATAGCAACGAAGATGACGAGTGGGATAGTGCAGAAGAAAGACGACGTGGCGGCAGCGGAAAGGGAAAGCAAGCCCTCCGCGATTCCGCCGGGCGCCGTTTACCACCAGCTGAAAGGGCCATCCGATGATAGAGTATAAATGAGGCTGCGGTGTTAAGTGGAGTTTGGCGTTTGGAGGTACCGTTTCCATGGATTAGCACGATACCAATGGTTGTACAGCTCAGGAGCAGATCATTCGTTTGGGAACTTGCAAGCAAAGCAAGCTGTGTCTTGTTGATTTGTATAGTACAGGTCGTACAGAGTATAGTACATTCACTTTCTCAACCTCTGCGGTGAAGTGATATTCTCACGTGAACATATTCCCAAAAATGTGCCAAAAATCCAAATCCAATCCAAATTCCAGACTTTTATAGACGTCTAGGCTTCTCACTCCTGGTACCACCAAACTTGATTCTTGTCGAATCGGCCACACGGACAATCTTGTCTCGTAGGACCTTGCCCTCGGGGCTCATCAGGACCTTCAGAGCAGCCTCTCGTCCCTGACCGAAACCTCGCAACACAACCTCTAGTCGGTTCATCTTCATGGGCCAGCCGGTGTGGATCAGTCGCTCCAGGACATACTTGGTGAGAGAGTAGGCGGAATCGAAAAGACCACGGCGAGACTTGCGGAAACCGATGTTGCCGGCCGATAGAGAGATAATTGGTTCTCGGTTGGGCTTGGTGCAAGTAATATGGGTGTTGTGCTTGTGAGAGTAGATGTGGAAGTGGTATGGCTCGAGATCGTCCTCCTTTGCCTCGACCTGTCGACGGGTATCTCTGGATAGTGTGCTCGTATCGATATTGGAAGACTTGTCAAGTGTCTGGAAGACAAGACTCTGGGAGAGGTTGGCCATGGCATTGTTGGGGGAGGGTTTCGTCTTGGACGTCTCTGAGGGACCATAGATGTTCTCTAACAGCGAGGCTGTACTGGGTCGGCTGGCCGCCCTTCTGGGTTTATCATCGCGGTTGGATTTTGTCTGGGAGATCGATCGAGCGATTTGAAATGACGACTTTGGGACGGTGGCCCGGGAGCTTTGAAAGAGCGATTGCGCCGCGAGGCGACTTGTCAATGAGCGACTCATTTTGTTCGCAATTGCCTGGTCCTGTCGTCAATTGATGATCTGCCTCTGGCAATTTTTACTCGCGGCCGTAACTTCCCCCACGGCCGGGGCTGGACGGGGAACAATTCTACCGAGGCTTTGCCGCCTCGGTGTTTGTCTTCCTTGACTTTCCGCCCCCGGACCGAGATCGCAAACCAAAATTTCGTCCGGGAATTCCACCACCTTCCACCGTCCATCTCGGCATCTCTCCAAACCCACGCCCTGTCTTTTTTTCTGGAGGGATTTGTCTCCTTGTGTTGTCGTAATAATGAACACCCTCGCAAGAAAGACGGCCTCCTCGGAGCTTGCCTTGTCACGGGCTTCTGCTCATGTCTCATCCGCTGGCAGATCTCCCGCCTACCGAAGATTAGCATCCCAGCTATCTCAGAATGTCTCCAACAACGGTGTGAGGCAACAAAGCTCAATGCTTTTCGGTTCAGTTCGATCGCCATTGAGGTCTTCTTTTGTTCCCGCCGAGCTTCGCTACTCCCCCACTTATACCGCTCAATCTCGTCTCTTCCACCTTTCCAGCCGCTTACAGCAAGAGAAGCCTCAAACTGAACAAAAACCCTCAACTGCTGCACCCACCGACGCAAAAGAGAAGAAGCCTACTGACGCTGACGCCGAGTCTGGGGCTAAGCCCGAGGAGGAGCAATCCAAGAAGACCGAGGAGGGTGAGAATGCTGAAAAGGAAGGAAAGGAAGAGGGTGAGGGTGAGGGCAAGGATAAAGACAAGAAGAAGGAGGATGCCCCTCCCCCCCCTCCTCATGGCGACAAGACCCCCTGGCAGGTATTCATGGAGACCATGAACACTGAGTTCCAGAAGTCGCAAGAATGGAACGAGTCGACGAAGCAGATCGCTGCATCTGCTAACCAATTCGCTGAGAGCGAGGGTGTGCGACGTGCTCGCGAGGCCTACGAGAAGTCCACTGGCGCTGTTTCCTCGACTCTTGGAAAGGGTGCCAAGGTCACTGCCGGGGCCATTGGCAAGGGTGCTTCTTGGACTTGGGATACTTCAGTCGTCAAGGGTGTGCGCAAGGCCGCTAATGTCACTGGAGATGCCGTGGACAAGGCTACCCAGCCTATCCGAAACACAGAGGCTTATAAGAACGTCAAGGATGTCATTGACGACGGCAGCTCCTCACGATACGGTGGCTGGGTTGAGAAGGAGGAGCGCAGGAAACGCCGGGAGGCACTCGACAAGCAGCGGGGTTACAAGGCGCCTCCACCTATGGAAGAGGACATTAAGTGAGTATCTTTACGACTTCTCTCATTTGAATTTGGTCTAACAAGAGATAGCGCTGGTACCAGTGTTACTGTTCACAAGGATGCGGCTTGGAAGGAGGCTTGGAGAGATTTCCGCGACCAGAACAAGTATGTGCAAGGACTTTTCAGCTTGAGGGGCAAGTATGAGGAGTCTGAGAACCCTCTCGTATCGACCGCTCGAAGTATCACCGACCGCATCGGAGGCTTCTTCGCCGAGAACGAGACTGCCATGGTCATCAAGAAGTTCAGATCCATGGACCCCAACTTCCAAACAGAGCCTTTCCTCCAGGAGCTTCGAGAGTACATCCTTCCTGAGGTGTTGGATGCTTACGTCAAGGGTGATGCCGAGACACTGAAGCTGTGGCTTTCTGCCGCCCAGTACTCTGTATACGAGGCCCTCACCAAGCAATACCTACAGGCTGGCATGAAATCGGACGGAAAGATTCTAGATATTCGAAATGTCGACATTCTAAGAGCCCGCATGCTCGACCCTGGTGAGGTTCCTGTCTTCATCATCACCTGCCGCACGCAAGAGGTTCACGTCTACCGCAATGCCAAGACGAATGAGCTTGCTGCCGGTATGGAGGACAAGGTCCAGCTGGTGACTTATGCCATCGGTATCACACGAGTACCAGAAGATGTCAACAATCCTGAGACAAGGGGCTGGCGTCTGATTGAGATGCAAAAGAGTGGACGAGACTGGTACTAAAAGAAACAGTCATTTTAACGCGGCGTCAAGGGGTTGGGGATCTGCCTTTGTTGGATACCTACGAGATGAGAAGGAATTGAAGGCGAACACGGGAGCATCGCCTAATATGTGTTAATTACTGTAAAATATGTGCTATCATGTGAAAATATCAGGGCGGGCTCTCGACACGAAAAACAACACCAACACCAACACCACCAACACAACACAAAACAACGTATCACTACCAAACAAAACAAGCATTTTCTGGAGAATGGGTTCGGGGCTGTTAAACAGCAAAAAATGACTACTACCACGCCGCTCTGCTTGCCTCAGGAAGAGGCTCTTTTTATGTATGATTATGGAGGGGAATAGGGGCATTGGGCCGGGCATCATTGGTGGGAGGAAGATGGACTTATAGACATGTTCAAAAGTTGCCTTGGTTTTCAAGGTCGGTGCAATCTATCTAGGCGTATAGCCGAAACAGTTCAAACAACCATTATCTTGTCCCCTCAACAAAGTGATACCCGCTTGCTCGGTTCAATCTTGTAGAACAGTCCAGTCTTCATATATCATCAAACTCATGCTCCTTGGCCATCTCGTTTCTCCCTCAAGATCCTTCTGACCTCCATCAACTCCTTACCTAGCAAATTCTCACCCCATGACTCTCTCGCAGCATGTGCATCAGCAGCTTTGAACCCAACGCCCCAAATCCGATCAAATGGACTCGCCTCGACAAGTTCTCTATCACCCGTGTTGATCAACATATCTGCTAGAGAACCATCGATGGGCTGGTGTAATGAATCTGCTTGACTGGCACCAGGCGTGCCTTTCTTGAAACCCTCCTCTGTGATAGCACGCGTGAACTTGAGGATGTTGCCCTTTCGGGCTATGTCACGTCGATGCTTGAGCCATACTGTTTCGTCAAAGTTCTTCACCTTGCGGCCGAGAGACTTGACTTTTCGTGGATGGGCTGTCTTGAGGATCTCAACAGCGGTGGCTTGGTCGTTGAATAGGATGGCTTTTTGATGCATCATGTAACTTAAGAACGTCAACATTCACCTTGAATAGAGTATTCAGTAGAATTGACGGCACTCACTGCTCTGCTGATTTGTATGTCTTTTTCTCATCCTGATCATCCTTGAAAGGACAATAATACCATTGCGATAGATATCCTGTTTCTGGGTCTGTTTCTCGCCAGAAATACACTGGACCGGGATCTGATGTTGTAGCCATTTTTTTACTGAGTAGCGATGAATAGTGATCCGAGAATTAAAAAGAAGAGTTGATGAGATTCGGTGCATCTTTATCGTTCGTGTGGGTTGAAAGTGCACGCTGTGACCGTGAATGAGGCTGTGGCTGGGTATTGGCTGTTGAGTCAGACGGGGAAGCCAAGGTTGACTTTCTTCCTGTTGCTTTTTCACGGTTGACCGCTGCCAAAATCATGCAACAGCCATCTTATTAGTCGTGAAGCCCAGGTTGATGCTATTTTTGAGGCTCGAGTGTCCTAGTAGTAATACCTAGGTAAGCTGTCTTACATGGGGCACGTAGTACAGATATGCACCACTCTCGTGTCCTCCGTGTGATATCGGCAATACTAACAAAGAGGCAGCTTAAGCCTAAGATGAAAATGACTACCTGATGGACCACTTACTTTAGAGGCTTTTTGTTATATGATTCTATATGACTTTCGGTGTGAGTCATGCATGACTGGATGTAGATGGAGTTTAATACTCACGGTAGAGAGTGGCTAAGAGTATGAAGGGTGCAGATACCAAGCCCATAGTTTGTTTGAGTATACAAATGAGTACCCTTCACAAAAGGGATTATACATTAGACATAGACCTTTGATTACTGATTATGTAGCATGTCTATCTCTTATGAACTCCACATGAGTAAGTCCATTGACGCATGAGCCATGGTCATGACCACTCGAGTTAGGCGGCCCAGAAGCGGGCGTTGATGATGAAACCGATAGCAAGCTTAAAGCTCAGAATATCCAAGAGGCATGCACTGAGATTTGCATAACTGGAAAGCCACTTGCTGGTTAACAAACTGGCTGATATTGTCAATTCCAATGATATAGTGTAAGCTAAGACAGCCGCTAATATCCAACATCGGGGGCTTGGTGTAGGGGTATCACGTTCGCTTTGCATTGTTTCGGATGCTTGCGAAAGGCCGGGGGTTCAAATCCCTCAGCCTCCATTTTTTGCCTTTTCCACGTTGACAATCCTTCTCGCAAGATTCTTTTTTGCTTGATATTATACCGCTCGATAAAGTCGACCATGAAGAAAACCGTTATTTATGCAGCTGTGTCTGGTTCCGAGCTCTCAAGCTCACTTATGTTCCTGGTGATGTCTATAGCGGCGAAATCACCATCTCTGGCATTAATAGGTAGTTATTCAAAGCTTCGGATGAAATAAGAATGGAGATTTCTACTGGCACTGAAGCTTCAATGCTCAGCTTCTCTTGTCTTAGTAGCTTCATACAATGCTGTTGAGCTTCCGAACTTCATACTCAGTACCACGTAGTTGCCCCTCATGTCAGCATCTCGACTGCATGGAGCTCTGACCGAGTGTTCTTTGAATCATGACAACACGGTGTCTTGAGATGAATCACGTTTGACATTAAATCATGGTAAAAAGCATGCTTGAGCAATATCAAATGTAAAAGTCCTCATAGACCAGTTGCCGGAAATATTACCGGAGGCTCCGAAGCGAACTTCCGCCCAAAACGCCGCGCCGGAGCATAAAGTGGGGGAGAACCCCAAGGAACCACCGGGAGCTACGGGGACCCCATCACTTTCTTACCTTTGTTCTCCAACGTCCGACAAACACCTTCAATCAACCACCTCAGCTCAAGTCAATACTCCAGACACATCGCAATTAAAGACATCGCCAAGATGGAGCACGTCGAGCAACACATGGCTCACCAAGCCAGCCAAGAAACGTATGTCTTTCCACTCTCTACTCTTCAACATTCATCACTAACTCTTCCCAGCGCATCGCTCTTCACACCCCTCAACCTGATCCTCCTCAGCGCCGTCCTATACACAACCTACTCCATGCTCCGCTCCTCGCCACCTCCATCCCTCCCCCGCGACACGCCGTCAACCGTCTTCAAAACCTACACTCCACACACTCTTCTCCCCTTCAACGGCGAGGAGGATCGACCTGTCTTTCTCGCCGTGCGCGGCCGCGTTTTCGACGTCTCGCCGGGTCGTAACTTCTACGGCCCTGGTGGTCCTTATAGCAACTTTGCCGGTCGCGATGCGAGTCGAGGTCTTGCGTGTGGTAGTTTTGATGAAGATATGTTAACAAAGGACCTGGATGGTCCGCTTGATAAGCTGGAGGGACTCGATGCGGAGCAGATGGAGGCGCTGCAGGGTTGGGAGGAGAGGTTCTTGGAGAAGTACAACGTTGTTGGAAAGCTGGTTTCTGTGCAGGACTACGAGGCTCAGAAGGCTTAAGAGATCAACTTGACCGTCGAGCGATGCGATCACGAAGCATATCTTGGAGCAAAAGTAACATGACGGAATATATCAGGGTACATGAGCGACTCGCATTCCTTCATTACTATAACTATAACAAAGAAAAAAAACATCCCATCTACCCAGTCAGGGCGATCAGACACATACCATCACTCTATCCCGACTAGTTGCCTCAACAAGTCCTACCCTACCCAAGAAAAGAAAAGCTTAGAAAAGCAGGGTTCCACGTAAACCAAACTCCGTGCAATGCCTCCTGTACATTTTTGCGTGAAAGGGCTGCCACGCGGTGTGTCCTGAATCAGAAACCAAAACACTATGTATATCCTGTAAAAGAAAAAAACAACAATGGCCAGCTTGCCTAGACTCAGATCGATATAAAAAGGGAAACAAAGAGAGGGCTTTTTATCGCTGCTCAAATCATACACGTGCTTTATTGCATCTCTAAGATCGTTGCTGCTTTGCGAAGAAGCGCTGCCGTCTTGGCAACGATAGGTTTGGCGGCTTTCCAGTCTCCCTCCTCGATGCTGTCACGAATAGCAGGGAAGATGGCTCCGTCGTTGGACCAAGCCTCTGGTCCGAAGACGACGTTCTTGAACTGTGTTCGGCTGGGAATCTAGAGATAGGGTTAGCTTATATCTTTCAGTCAGTCTCATGAGGGGAACTTACACCACCACCGATTTCAATGTCCAGTAACGCCGTCTCAAAATATGCCATCTTGTTGTTGTATGCAAGTCGAGAGGCACCAATATCGTTGGCCTCCCAGCCTCCGTTGCCCAAGACCTCGCGGTCCCAGTCCATTTCCCACTTCTCGAATGTGGCGACGTTGTGTTGGATAAGTGTTACAGCATCCTTAAGCTCCTTGAATGCGTCTTGCTCGCCCTTGGGCTGGCCGTTCATGTGCTTAAGTGCCCACTTCTCGAGATCTTTAACCCATTGACCCAGTCTCTGTGCATACCAGCCCATATCAAACGGCATGATGGGCCGGTCAGCCATGTCGAGAATGAGAAGAGCTATAACTTGTCCCATTGCGCCGTGATACTCGAAATCGGGATCGATGAAGTTGTCTACCAAACCAATCTTGTCGTAGCTTGAGTGGTGAGGGACCTGACTGCCTCTAAAGGCCAAATCGAGTGAACTTGTTCCCGCGATATCTTGGAATGGAATGTGGTCACCACGTCCCTCAGGTTGCTTGAGTTCGGCATGGCTTTGATCCCAAAGGTCCTTCAATGTACTGTTAGTAGAGGGGTCGATAACTCGGCCCAGGGCATGAAGGAGAGACTTTCGGAACACAGGCGATCCAGAAGCATGCAGGTCTTTTCCAACAACGGCGGCCCCAAGATTGAGGTAAGCAAAGGCATTGTCACGTAGGGCCTCTGAGTTATGCTCGACATATTCAGTTGAGCCGATCAGGTTGTACGCAGAAGCATCCCAAGACATGAATTCGATGGTCCTCAACGGCCTCCAGCCTCGCTGTACAAGATCTCCGAAGATTCGAGCCATCTCAATCATGACAGCTGTACCTGAGTGGGGGTCCGTTGCACCAAAAGCCCAAGAATCTCGCTGATTGCCGATAATTATAGACTTGGACGTCTGCTCCATGCCATTGATTCGACCATAAACATTCCAGATAGTGTGCAATGAATCCTCGTCTTGCTCGTTCTTCAAGCGCACAATTGGCGACTTCTCACTGCCGGTCCACCACTCAACGTCTGGGACACCACCTTCCCACTTGTTAGGCACCTTTTCGCCGTGGCCCTTGAGATGCTGTAGTAGGACCTTGGCATCTCTCCATGCGAGAGGAAGACTGGGGATACTGACAAGTCCATTGGCCTTGTCGAGTGTGATTCGCTGATCGCCCTTGCTACCATAACCAGGCGACAAGGGGTCACCAATTCCCCAGTTTGTGAGACCGACAGAGCCTCTTTGAACACCATCTGAGGGCATATACACTCCTTCAGGAGCCACAACACCCTTCTTGAAACCGTCGTCCGCAGGGTCGGAGTAGATGAGACAGCCAGCAAAGCCCGCCAGCTCGGCTGCCTTGACCTTGAGAGCTTGATTTTCCAGAGGACCACCATTTTTCACCAGCGCAATAGCTCCTGTGACATTGAAACCTTTGCTTGTAAGATACTTGAAGTCGTCTCTCGTACCATAGTTGGCGTAAATTAGGGGTCCCTTGACGTCTCCCGACTTGGAGTATCCGTGAAAGGCGTAGGTTTGTCGACCTGCTGTCTCGCCTCCAACTTCCTCTTCTTCTAGCTTAGCCGTCCATTTGGCCTTCTTGAGATCCTTATCGTCCATGATCTGCACCACACGACCGTCCTTGCGGGGATAGTTGAGATAAACCTGATACTCATCCATCATCACTTCGTCCAGTAATGCCCTACTAAACATGGCTTGGACATCCAAAGCGGTCGCATAATCACCCTCGGTACCGGCAATATGGGCGTAATTCGAAAAGTGCTGTACTGAGGCGCGCATCCTCATAGGATCAACCGTACGGAGCAGATGGGCTCTGAGGTCCTCAGGGTTGAAACGGAAGCCACCTCCTAATCGATCTGACAAACCACCGAACATATCGCTGGCGAATAGCAGATAGAAGAATCCCAATATAATTGTGAGCGCCAAAATGCGCACACAAAATAAGATGACGGTTGTTTTGTCCACCTTCGGTATGTTCCACCTCCTCGTTGTCTGGCTTGGCGTCTCCTCATTCTCACCCGTGGCATTCTCGGCGCTGTCGGCAGCTGGCGCATCAGCTCGTTGAGGTAATTGTATGCGTAATCGTGGTAATCTCGGCCTCCAGGACCATTTCCACCGTGGTAGAGTTAAATATGACCCTATTCGCTTCCCCCACTGAGAGCCTCGGGATCGGTCGGGTTCTTCGATCTCCATCTCCTGCATCTCGCGTCGAACCTGCGCGGCTTCATGGTCACTCTCGCTATCGCTGGCCCATAAACTGTCCTCATCGTCGGTCTCTACTGTTGGTGGTCGATAACCGTCGGGCCTGCGGGAGGAACTGGCGCCACTCGAATGTTGTAGGAGACCTTGTGATTCCGCCTCTGTTGCATTACGCTCGTTTGTTGGAGACCTCGGAGTAGGAGCCCAATCATCTGGATCGTAATGACTACCACTGGCCACGGCCTGATCGTACGTGGGCGGTATAGGATCATAGAAAGGAGCCTTTTCGGAAGGCATGTTGATGGTGATTGAGCGCTAACCGCGCCCTCGGTTGCCGTATATTCAATCCGATAGAAGCTGGTTCAGGCGTGTCACAAAGCAGTCGAGATAAACAGTGCCATTCGCTGAAGGTGATTAGATAAAAAGGAGCGGGCGAATCGGGGTTTCGATCGATCGATACGAAGCAATTAAGATGAGCCAGATGCAAGCACGAAAGGAGCGTCAAGAAAGAGAGACAAGAGACAGACGCCAGAAGCGCACCGCCAAACTAACAAGTCCAGGCTTAAGCTCTGACTCGAAATGTTGGTGAATGGGAAAAAAGAAGGGGAGAAAAGGCTGAGATGATTAAAGTCAAAGTACCAAGTTACGTTGTTGGCTGCAGGTAGGTACAGTAAGTGCAAGTCCAATGCGCTGCGACGGGGGGGATGATGGCGAACCTAATGGAGTGTCCACGTAAGGTAGGGGACCGGAGTCCACTGTAACTATAACCCGCCGGTTAGTACGGAGTAAGAAGAAGACACCAGACAAAGTTGGTCGAGGTCTTAAGTGGCTGAGTTGATCCGAGAGACTTGGCAAGCCTTGGCCTTTGGAAACTTTGACGAAATGCCAGTAAAAATACTATACAGATACTATAGCTCGCTCCTCTTCTTTTGACCAAACTACACGTGAAATATAATTCATACTAACACTATCTATGTATCTATCTCAGAGGCATCCAAGGAGCTGACCAGGCCCTGGCCTTGTCTTGTCTCGGCTCTCTCAATCAATCACTCACTCTCCTGAATCCGCCCGTGCACGCCACCAGGATTACCCCACAAAAGCTGGGATAAGGAGACGGCCTAACTTGGACAGGGAGGTGATGTGCGTATTATCGCTTTGCTTCTGGACTCGAGGTAAAGTTAGGGACGTGTCAGCTAATTTGTTCAGCCGTAATTCGAGATAAAGAATGTATAGTAAGCCCAAAAATAGCCGAAGCCTCGCCCACGCAATACTGTCTGAGAGTTACATAGTCCATATATCACTCAATCAGGGGTTGGTGATAGTGACTTTCCAAAACTCTCACTGTCGCAGGAGACTCAGCTCGGCTTCACCGCGCATATCATCAATTTTTGGGAAAAGTTTACATATATACAACTAGTGGTCCTGCTACCTCCTCAATTCATGCAGGCTAAACATTATCTATCGCTATGCCGCTCAATCACCTTCTCTTTCTTCCAATCACCAGTGAATTAGACCTTAGTTCGGTGTCAAAACGACGCCCTCATATTGTCGACTTCGAATGTTCTCCAATGTCTGGTGGAAGTGCCGGCGGCTGTTCTCAACTGAAGCAGAATCTTGTTGGTTGCCAGCCAGATTGGAGTGAATGAGTTCAATGAGACCATTGAGATATTTGGTTGTGACCTGCCCGAGTCAGCAAATGCTTCAACCGTTCCATGAGCGAGACTTACTGATTCGTTTTGTTGGTCAAAGTAATACACATAGCGGTCTAGAATCTCAACAAAGAGCTCAATCGATGTGGCCGTCTCCATGCAGGAATCGGCAACACGAAGGGCACGCTGAAGACATTCAAGTACTCGCTTACCATCACGGTAAAGCTATGCAAATTAGCTGAGGTCCTTTACACATGAATTGGTACATACCTCTGTTTCTTCCGACTCGCCGTTAGACACCATGGGAGTCGCCCACCACAAGTGACTCGCCAGATACACAGCGCGACATTGATCGGGCTTGCGTAGCAGCTTGCTACCGTGCTGTGCGCACTTGGTGATGAGAGTGTCGTAATTCTCCTTTCCAAAGTTGCGTGTCTGGTGAAGTGCAGTAGCAATCACACAGACAGCCTGGAACTGAGCTTTCGAATCTGACACAGCCTCCTCATACACTGTGAACGCTTGCGCAAAGAATTCATACGCAACCTCTTCAAACCCGGTCAGATCGGCCGTTTGACCAGCAGAGGCAAAGAGACGCAGCGCCATCTCTGCAGCCCCAGAGCCGTTAACACGGGTGTACAACGTGCTGAGCGCCGAGTGCATAAACTTGAACAGAGCATTACTCTGCGTCTCCCAGTTGTCGTCAAAGTGCTCACGCTGCTTGAACTTTCGCGCCAACTTCATGCATGCTGTGATAAGAGG